GACGCCGGGCGTGAGCCACCGGCGCCCAGCTCGGAAAGCTTTCTGTTTGGCCGGCGATCTAAGTCTCCTGCCTTCGTCTGACTCCAGTTTCATTACGATGCTTTCAGCTCTGAGCTGACGGGACTTGTTTAATGTCTATTTCCCTGAACATCGGGAGCCCTATCAGGACTATGGGGTAATGTGGGGTACGGAACAAACCTGCCTTATAAAACTTTGTGCCAATATTGTGCTATCGTTTAGGTACCGCCGAAAGAGCACCCAGAAGTGACGGGCAGATGAGAAGAAAGGTAAATCATTCGCGTACTTTTCTAAATTCTGTCTTAATGGTGTCTGAAATGATTATTTTTTCTTTTTTTCTTTTTGTGGTGCTGAGGACCAAACTCAGGGTCTTGCACTGGCTAGGCAAGTGCTCTTCCACTGAGCTAAATCCCCAACCCAACGTCCAGAATTATCGGGTGACATAAAAGGGAACTGATGGAGATCAGGTCAAAAGGGCCAGACCCTGTAGTGTTGTCGTGTGACCTGTGTGTATTTGTATGCTGGCTCTGGAGCTTGAATTTAGGGCGTAAGTGCTAGTCCTGAACTTTCTTTGCTCAAGACTAGCATTCTACGATTCGAGTCACATATCCACTACTGGCTTAGTTGAAGATAATTGGCTTTTTTGTTTGTATGTGTTGGGACTTGAACTCAGAACCTCGGTGCTATCCCTTAATTTTTTTCTCTCAAGACTGGCACTCTACCATTTGGGCCATACCTCTATGTCTCACTTTTTGATGGTTAGAGATAAGAGTCTATGGACTTTCCTATCCAGGATGGCTTCAAACCATGATCCTGAGAGACCTCAGCATCCTCAGTAACTAGGATTACGGGCATGAAGTCCCAGCTCCCAGTGTGGACTTGTTAAAAACAATACTGAGGGAATGGTTCACCTCTAAGAAGTAGATGCACTCATCTACTCCCAGGAAGCAGGTGTGAGGGCATAGAACTAGTTTTGGTAGTGGCATAGCACATATGCATATGTATGCGTTATTCTAACTCATCACACGCCTGTGGGCATCTCTCCATCATTGGTTTGTCACTGAGGAATTAAAACAAAGCCACATTAATTGGAAGGGAAATGGCACCAAGTGAGTGTCACATGAAGGAGTAATTTCATGGGAACACTATCTCCTTCTATGATGTATTCAACACTGATTTTGAGATTGTATGGATGGTTATTTCTGGATTTTGACACCTCCTTAAATCTTAACTTTTGTATATTGACCATATTCTATTTATGTATTTAATAGTTGTGTTAATACTGAGGCTTGAACTCGGAGCATTGTGCTCTCTCTTGTCTTTTCCAGTCAAAGCTGGCATTCTTAAGCCACACCCCCACCTTCAGTTTTTTTACTCATTTATTGGACATAAGAGTCTCTTGGATTTGTCTGCTCAGGCTGGCTTTGAACCTTGGTCCTCAGATCTCAGCCTTCTGAGTAGCCAGGGCTATAGGTATGGGCCACTGGTGCCCAGGTATCTCCTATTTAATACCAGGACCATGTATAGAAACATATATACATGTGGTTATATATTCTTTGATTTCCATCAAGCAATATATATAAATTATTTCAGAGTGTACTGTTAGCAAAAATGTAAGAGTTTTGAAAGTCAAAACAGTTTTTAGTGAAGGAAATATTAACACCAGAAATGGATTTTTGCCAGGAATCATTGGCTCATGCCTGTCATTTTGGCTGCTCAGGAGGCTGAAAACTGAAGATTGCAGTTCAAAGCCAGCCCAGGCAGAAAATGAGACTATCTCCAGTTAACCAGCAAAAAAGCTGGAACTAGAGGTATGGCTCAACTGTTCTCACATGGCATGAGATTTGAGCAAAAATGCTAATGAACAGTGCCCAGGCCCTGAGCTCAAGCCCTAGTACCTGACACAAAGGGCCAAAAAAAAAAAAAGTGGGGGAGGAAGGGTGGGGTGGGAAAGTGTTTGCCAAAAAGGAATGAAATAATGAATTAATATTACAGAGATTTAGAGCTTGTGTTTTTTGATTTTTGTTTTTTCATATGTACAGCAGCTGATTTGTTGGAAGTCAGATTTTATGTATTATACTCTTGCTTTATACTTCTTGTAATTGTATCTTTTGCTTTAAAGTTAAAGAATATAGCCGGGCACTGGTGGCTCATACCTGTAATCCTAGCTACTCAGGAAGCTGAGATCTGGGGATCATGGTTCACAGCCAGACTGGGCAGGATAGGACATGAGACTCTATCTCCAGAAAACTGGAAGTGGTGCTGTGGCTCAAGTGGTAGAGCACTAGTCTTGAGCAAAAGAGCTCAGAGACAGCTCCCAAACCCTGAGTTTAAGCCCCATGATTGACCAAAAAAAAAAAAGTTACTATGTTTAACTTTGAAAATACTTGTGTATTTTGTATCTCAGGCCCTGCCTCCTAGGACGGAGAAGATGACAGTTGATCAGGACTGGCCTAGTGTTTACCCCGTGGCAGCGCCATTCAAACCCTCGGTGGTGCCTCTTCCTATTCGAATGGGTTATCCAGTAAAGAAGGGTGTGCCACTGGTAAAGGAGGGAAATATAGAGCTCTTGAAGGTAAGGGAAATTGCTGGTTCATGGGCTAGGATTGATACCTGAGTGAATTCTGACTTTCCCTTTTTATCTACCCTCCTATAGCTCAAGGCTCAGCACAGAGCAGCCTAACCACATTTTAATTACCTTTTTTTCAGGTAATAAGAAATGCTGTGTTTTTATTTGTCATGGTGAGGAAGATTCAAAGTAGCTTAGAATTAAATTAATTAGATAAGCACTAGTGGCTCACTCCTGAATTCCTAGCTACTAAGGAGGCTGATGAGAGAAGACACAATAGGATGAAGGGGTACTGTGCCCCTAGAGACAGAAATCAATGAAATTTGGAAATGAGAACGTTTCATGAAACAACAGGCAATCGAATATTGAAGAAGACAATCTTTCCAAATGAATGCATAGCAGGTTTGTAGTGAGGGCAACAGTTGTGAATGGGTGTTAAAATCTGTACATGTCCACCAGTAAGTATTGAGTACCTTCCATCTATTCCCAGTAAGTCATCAAATAAGCTTTATTAATTATCAATTATTAATATCTACTGTCAAAACAATTGCATGGTGATTAATTAACAAATCGTGTCAGATATCAATCTTATTAAATATGTCTATATTA